AGATATAAGTACCCTACATTTTCAGAACTAATTTGCATATTTCAGCTAATTTGCATATGAAGATGTGCGTAAAAAAATTGGCGACTCATTTTATTGGATTCAGCATACTTCAAAGTATATATTTCATCCAAAAAACTAAAATGATCACAAAAATCCCACGGGAGCCCATTTTTCGACATATGCCCCCGGACTACTATATGATTGAAAAAAAATTGAAAAATTTTGTCGACCTCTGAAATCAAGATTGAAAAATAAAAGCCTATCTCAGTAGTGTATTAAAATAGGTATATGCATTACAGTGCTGTAGTACTAGTAATACTCTGAACTAGCATTGTTTTAGTTACCATATGAGAGTTTTCTGTGTTAAAAACATGATTTACTATACTATACCTCTTTATAAAACATAATTTGTACTTTGTAATAAGAGAAATATGTATATTATCGCTACTTGGAACAGTAACAACTCGAAAGTCCTATGCTACTGCACTGTAATGCATTGGTAATGTGCACATCAAAATTATTATAGTGTTTTATTATGAATTAAATATACCTTGACTTAAGTCATAAGTATTGTACTGCTTAACACATATTTCAGGTATCAGATGAAGAACTATTTTTCATAGACCGTGGAGATAATTTACAAGGAGTTTTAGACAAATCTAGACCAAAGCCTGCATGGGAAGATGAAGATGACGACCAGATTACGTGAGTTTATTGTAATTTAATCTAAAGTACTTGTTCACATTTCTCAAATTGTTTTTAGTCCTTCATACTGTATTTCTATTAATCAGTCTTTTTTCATATCCCTAAAATTGATTTAGTCGTTTTTTACCTCGCATCCTCAAACTGATGTACTTTAGCCTTTCTTCATATACACTCAAACTGGTGTAATTTGATGTTTAAAATGTTAACCATAATTTTAATTAACTGGTTTGTCTCCCATGCAGGCTTGATTTAACTGGAAGAAGGAAACATCAAGATATTAGACGAAGTGATGAGAAAGAAATTTCAGGCGATAAATTAAAACAGCGTTTAAAATCTCAGTAAGTTAAATGCCTTCATATGCTTAAAAATATTACTTTTTTTTTAATTTCATATTTCTGTCAAAAAATTGTTATAATAATATTCTCTAGGGAGATTTTTTTGCAAGAATGAAACTTGACATTTGATTAAATTGTTAGGAGCTATCATCTGTAGTATTTGTATTCTGTTTTGAATGTATATTTTTAAAAGAATTTACTTAAATAATTTATGATTTTAAATAAAATTACTTGAAAAGAAATTGTAAGGCAGCAAACATATATATTAGTTTCCACTTTAGTGACTATACTCAACTAAAATGCTAATTTCCAAAACCTTTTAGGTTTGAAAATTTAACAGGTTCCAAACCAAACTGGGCGAAATTGGAATCTGAGAAAGATGAGCGTAAACGAAAAGGTAAACTTTTGAAAATTTTTTAAATTCAAGTTATAGCCTTTAAAAGAAAGTCCATTTCCTGTAATATGAATTAAACCTTTGTTGTATAGTTTCTCCTGTAATTTTAATACACAGCAATGTTTTGTTGTTGAACTCGCACATGTGGCCCAAGCATATAAAAATATTTACTGGGATGAGGGGCATAATTCAAAATATAGCTGTTGGTTATCTGGAGGCTGTACTGTGTCCCAAGATGAGGTTGAATTACAGAGTACAGCCTCCAGATCACCAAGGGCTAAACTTTGAACTATGACCCGATTAAAACCCAGTAAATATTTGTTTTATATACCACTACATGGATTGTAGGCATTAGAGGGCATGGCTAGAACTATTGCCCTGCTTTTAATCAATCAAATGCCTGGAATCTATGTATGAGGTATATAATAACTTATATTGATATTAATGGTAATAGAATTATAATATATTCCTACATTATGCTTGTTATATACATATGCATGTTATGCATATGAATTAATGAATATGCATTTCATGATGTGGTAGGTGCTAGCAGTGATGAAGAAGATGAGGAGGAGGAAGACCTGTTGAAAAGAACTGGCGATTACTTGGCATCATCGAAGTCATTAACAAAGGGTTTACTTGATATAAAGAAATACACAGATGCAAATAAAATGTCACCGTCGGAGGTAAATCAAACTAAGGTTGGATTCCATAAAAATTGCTACACGCTATCGTCGACTCCTTTGGCGATGCTGGTTGGTCGGTTGAATCGGTGAGTGTTCCTGATTGCGTCGGGAACAGCTACACAGTGCAAGGCTTGCAGTGAAAACTCTTTGGCGACACTGAATGTAGCGATATTGAATCCCGACACGATGGCGCGCATTTCGATATTTGGAGTATGTATTACACTATCTTATCTACAGCGGCTGTGTAGCAATTTTATGGAAACCAGGCTTTAGGTTTTTTTTGTCACAGATATCCTAAAAAATATGTTTTAAAAATGAATTTTGTCCATACGTAATTTCTTTCAATCTCTATGTCAACCTTCATTTATTTTGTAATAACAAATTCTGTTCAGCTTTTGCTGCCAACTTGAGAAGAAACTTCCTGCAGATTGTGAGCAACGCCTAACCATGACCACTTATGCTCTCGATGGGGAAATTCTGGCGCCACCCCTGGTCCAATTTTCTATTAGGGACGTTCCTGGATTTTGATGGTCAGGAGTGTCCAGGGTCTACCAGAATTTCTTTGCTTAACTAATTCAGTTTTATTTTTCTTGTCTTCCAGTCTTGGATAGAGTCTGTGGAGTTCCATCCAAATGCTCATGTGTTACTCACAGCAGGAAAGGACCTCCGACTAAATTTATTTCAGGTGAGAAGCTTCTTAATATGTGCAGTACTTCATAACACTAATGAACATGTGAGGGCTTCATCACACATAAATGAGAATTTACTCAACAGATACGCAAGACCTAAATTCACGGGTACTACATGTAAACTCTCAGGTTTCTCTCATGGATATATGAACAGGTATGTGAGAACTTCTGAACAGGTGTGTGAGAATTCACTCAGAAATTCACAGGTATATATGAAAACTCTCAGCTTTGTGAGAATTCTCTCATGGGTATGTGAGATCTCTTTTGGGTGTTTGAGAATTTCTGCACAAGTTTTTGAGAACTCACTTTTTTGTATGTAGAACTCACAGTATGTGAGGTTCTCTCTCAGGTTTATGAGAACTTTGTCACAGGTTTGTGAGATCTCATATAGATGTATGAAATCTTTCTCAAGCCAATAATTTATACATAAATTAGTAATTGTTTTCTTTGATAGGTTGATGGTAAAAGCAACCCAAAGATTCAGAGTGTATATATGGAAAAGTTTCCGATAACAACAGCGCACTTCTCAACTAACGGGGAAGAAGTCATCATGTCTTCTAAATGCAAATGGTTTTATGTTTATGATATGATTGCTGGGAAAATCATTAATATTCCTTACATCAGAGGTAATTTATTGCTAATTTGAGCAAAGCATTTTCCTATCATTCTTTTTTCACTGCAGTAAATTTGCTAAAAGGTTATAAATGAATATCTCTTTTGAATAATTGGCTGTTCACAAACTGGTAGTCGTATTAGTATGCATTTATAATGAACCTCTTCGTTGAAGTTATAAAGTGCAGGTCTTTTCCCTGGTTATTGAGTCCACATGCTTTGCTGCTGGTAATCAGTGTTGGTAATCAGTGCAGGAGAAGGTAACCCCACCAGGTACCAATATATAACTCCTGGGTGGAGAGAAGCAATGCAGATAAAGTGCCTTGCTCAAGGACACAAGCAAAATGCACAGCGAGGAATTGAAACCTCGACCTCATGGTTGGGAAACCACAACGTATAGAAAGAAGTGTCATCTTAGCATCAACATGTTTCTGTTATCACTTGTTACATCACTCACTAAATTATATTCCTCCAACTACAGGTATCAATGAAAGGAAGTTAGAAAAGTTTGAAGTTTCACCTGACGGCCAGTATTTGGCATTTCTTGGTAGCTATGGTCAAGTTTATCTGCTATCAGCAAAGGTAGATACTGTTCATAAAATCAACATTAAAGTATTTGTACACTAATGCACGCTTCCAGGAACATTACTTGAATTAGTATACATTTTTAGTTTCTCAATATTGAAAAAAATAATTTCCATTAGTTCTTAATTTAATAGTAAATTTTGCCTCAGTACTCGGACAGTTTCTCTTTACTTTACTCTGATGTAGTATATTTGACCTTCAATGCCAGATTTGATGATTGTTTATATGACTGAGAAGGTGAATGAAGTTGATTTTCGCAATATTTTCTTTTTTAATGAGTTTATCGCCTTTATACATGGGATGAATGCTCTGTAGTAATGAGGAGGAAAATGTTGGTGGTGTGATTATAATGTGGATTATGATGGTAATAATTTTTATCGTTTTTACAGACAAAGGAATGGATCTCTACATTAAAAATGAATGGATCAGTGGAAGCAGTAGCATTTTCTAAAGATGGAAAAACGCTTTACTCAACAGGAGGTGATATAAGTAACCTTTTATTGCTAATTTGTATAGAATATGAATATTCATTATTTATGCAAATTTACTCTGATTTTATGCCTTAATTAACATATAAATAATTCAATGTGAAAATCTTGCTAGAGTCCTTTTTCATATGCAGTCACTACTATGGCATTCCACAATTTTTGTTTGCTTGTAGATGATGGTGAAGTTTATGTTTGGAATCTGCAGAGCAGAAAATGCGTTCATCGATTTGCCGATGAGGGATGCGTAAAAGGAACAAGCATAGCGGTATCGCCAAGCAGCATGTATTTGGCTTGTGGGTAAGTAAGCATGACGTCTTTGCAGTTAAAAAGTTACTGATTACCATGCTGATTTGAGTACATTTTTATGTATATACAGTAGTATGTTTCTAGTATGCTTATAGTATGTTTATAGTATGCTTATAGTATGTATATAGTATATTTATAGTATGTTACATTAGAGTATGTTTATAGTATGTTTTGCTTATAGTATGTTAGATTAAAGAAGTTTATACTATGTTATAGTATACTTATTATAGTATGTTTATAGTATATTTATTTTACCTGAATTCTTTATGAAAGATTGGTTTTATAAATTTATTTTTTTAATGTTACATTTTATAAATGTTTTACAATTTAATGTATAATCATTACATGTATCAAAGTTTAGATGTTTAATAATGAAGTTTTCCAATATTGAGTATCTTAGCTCTTGACAACTGAAGGTATTTATGTGTTTTTTGTGTTGTTTTTCTGTATTTCAGTTGTGCTCACTATGTCAAATTTCTAATGTAAACAATGTTACACAGATATTGATAGTTTATCTGTTTGTTTTTTTTTCAGATCTCACAGTGGTGTTGTTAATGTTTACAATCATGACGAATGCTTATCAAAGTCTAGACCAAAGCCAAGCAGAGCTATTAAGAATTTGACCACACCCTGTACGAAGGTTCTATTCAATTCGACCAATGAGATATTAGCTATTGCGTCATGTGCTGTAAATAAGGCCATTCGATTGGTTAGTGCATTTCTTGTACATAATACACCTATAGCTTTTTATTTGATGTAACCATCATTCAGATTTTGTCTTATGGTTCATTGCCATCTGCTGTATTCCGTCTGTTTCAACTGACACCATCATAGTGCACCGTCTTTCAGAAGAGATTTTTTTTATGCATTGGTCCTGTGTATGAAGTATGGTACTTGTGCATGTTATAGAATACAGCAGTACAGTAGGGGATTGTCTTCCAGAGAACTGCCCAATTTTCACCAGAAGAATACCACTTTGAATAAGTCTTCAGATTTTCTTGGGTTATTGTTTGCTTTTTTTCACGCCAAAGTAGTGTAATTCAATCAATAAATTAAATATGAAACTACCAAAAAAAAAATTAAACAGTTTATTTTTTATTTGTGTTAATAGTTGTGTTACATTAAAAATAAATTTATGTTAAGTCTGACCACACTTATTAAATTTTATGTGACAAATAATTGTGATATGTCCATATTTGAGTGTAATATGTCATCATCATGCCCATATATGGGCACATCACACACGTATGCCATATAAAATTTTATAGTGGATATTTATGTTAATTGTTTGGTTACATAAAAAAAATATCTTGTTTTACATTCTTCCCTCAGGTGCATCTACCTTCCTATTCAGTGTTCTCAAATTTTCCAGAGCTGAATGACAGAATAGGAAGAGTCAACTCGATGGACTTCTCTCCAAGAAGTGGTTTTATAACACTTGGAAATAATAAGGGCCAAGCACTTCTTTACAGGTACAAACATGCTAATTTCTATGAAGAACTTGATGTGTGTAGTAGTTCGAAGTAGGGGAGGATCCATAATTGTTTGAACAAGGGGGCACAACTTTCATCTTTAGGCCTAGATGTAATTTAATTACAGTATCCAGATAAATAAGTATCCAAACAATTAATTGTATGATTCATGTTCAGTATCTGTTTAATACAAAATAGTGCAATATTTAGTATGTTTTTTTCCATTTTGTAAATTTTTCTGTTAAAATGTAATACGGAACAAACAACCACCAACCCCCTCCCCCATTACCTTTCCCTAAATCCTTCCCTGTGCAGCTCTCACATGAGGGCGCTTTTGATTGCAAGACGACAGTAGGGCGTAGAACAATGACATCACATAAAGTCCTCTGCTCATGCGAGAACGTTGAGTTCACGCAGTTGCGTGGATTTTAGGACGCAGTTTAGCCAAATATACATTGTGCAGAGAACGTAGGACAGTCATGCATGAGTAAATCCATTCTAGCGTCACGTCGTCACGCAAATCAAAAGCTCCCTATTAAAACATGATGTCAGGTTTGAAGTCCTTTTTGCAAGACAATTTGTCTACATTGTCTTCCTACATGGGCAGTATAAGTAGTGGGTACCTACAAGGATCGAATATCAAGCACTAACTGTCGTCGTATGTGGATCAGTCCATAAGTGTTTGATCCTTCTACCAGAGATATTAATGTAACCACATAGAAGCAGCTAATGCAATACAGTAAAACCTTAAATAGAAGCCCAATGGGCTTAATCTCGAGAAGCCCATCTCGAATTGAAGCCCATTGGGCTTAATCTCGAGAAGAAGCCCATCTCGAATTGAACCCCCTCTTTAGTTTGCAAAGTAGCCTCATCGGCTTCTTTTCAAGATAGCATGAACTTCTTTTCAAGATAGCACAGTATATACACTGTATATGAATATTAAAGAAACAGATGAATTGAAAACATGCTTGGTTTATGAGTAGATTAGGTGATTTAATGCCAGTTAATACAATCTATGATACAGACTGAAGTTACAGGGGCCTTATTTATTGTTTCATAATAATAATTACTAAAATTTACAGCCTTTATTTGGAAAAGAAAGCCCTTCTTTAGTTTGCAAATGTAGCCGCGAAAAGTCGCCCTTTCAAAGTTTGCAAAAAAAAAAAGTGAAGCCTAGGGCTTCTATCCAAGGTTTTACGGTATGTCCTATGTAAATTATGCATTATTAATACTATTTTATTGAAGGATTATATTACTAGAATGTTTATGTTGAAGCATTGTTAATTTTTTTCACATCACCATCATCTGTTGCCAGTAAAGGTTGAATTTAAGAGAAATATTAAATGTTCACAGCTTTATTCTTATCTGCTATTTATCTCTCTTATCCTCAGGTTAAAGCATTTTTCAGAATCTTAGCGGTTGACAACGGGTGGCATGCGATAAGATGCATCTTCTAACATTGGCTAGTTTACAAACATCTTCAAGAAAACAAAAGTAAATTTTTGAGATCCTGTTTTAGGGGCATCAAGTACTTTCGTATATACTTGATAATCGAGTTACTATCTATGACAACTAATAAAAGAACCAAAGCCCTCCCTCTATATTTTATATTGTAAAGTTAGGCTTGCTGAATCCAGGTGGGGCTATATGTATTTTTGCAGCAATGCACTTTGCCATAGAGTTAATTAAGACCAGTAGGACCTAACTGATGAAGTTTACTGACTGTAAAACTACTGAAAAATGGCAACAGTGGAGAAGGTGAAGTGGATTTGTTGGGAGTTTTCTCAAAAATACTAAATGTATCATCATAATCTTGACATTTCTTTGGGAAGAAAATACTGTATTGCATCTAAAAATATATCCACATGAAAGATTAAAATGAATTTTCAAGATTTTATAGTTGTGTGTGTTATGTGTCTTTATATACTGTATATAAAAGTCTATTTTTGTGCATGCTTACCAAGACAAATTGAATAGTGCCATTTTCGTTTAAATGAGTACCCCATGAAGGAAATAGATTCGTCCGTTCTAGGGCATGTCGTTTCCACGCTATTGTCCATGTTCGTCCTCATTCTTTGGCGCTGCTGCATCCATTGTCCGTGTTCGTCCTCATTCTGTGGTACTTGCAGCCTCAACACACGAATACAGATTCTGGTTCAAAATTAATTATTTACGCTAGTGTGTGAGATATCCAATTTAAAACAATCCAAAATCAGTATTACCAATAACTTTACAAAAACAACAACGAATAAGGTTACGACCTTCGGTTACATCATCAATTTTAACATTTTAAGATCTATCACAGTGTATAACCGTTATTTCGAGAATCATCGATCATAAAACGGATATCATTTTTTTTACTTTTTAACTAAGATTTGAGTAGCTTTTTTCAGTTTTGAGTTAATTTAGTATACAAGGACTTAACATTTTACAAAGACATACATACATATATTATATTTATTAAAAGATGCTTACAGTACAGTATTTCTAAAATTTACGAAATTGTGCGATGGAACAGACATTGGTTACAAGGAATAACAAGAAAAGTTACCTTACTTCCGCTTGGGAAAAGTAAAACAATTTTAATTGTGCAGTTAAAACTGCACAATTGCACAAAAAGAAAAACAGAAAGCTACCAGAAAATCGTCGATATACTTGATTGTTGACAAAAACAAAATTAGCCTCACTGATAATGTTCTTTGGTCATTAGAAAGAGCGATGTTACAATCCGATTTCCATAGGCCTATTCTTTGTAGAATAGATTGTGATTTCTTTTCAGTCCATTTCGACCGTTTTCTCTTGTTTTTTTTTTCCTATTCTGTAATGACAATCTACATGTGACTAAAGCTCATCCTGCCATATCTCAGAGCCACGATGGGAAAAGCGAGACTATCTGCTTTGGCACTACAGCGTGATGAAGCAGACAACATTGCTAACTTTGGTCATGTTATTAACTTATTTGCTATGCAAAAGCACACAAAATTCAGTTGCGAGTTTAAATTTTATACCTCCATGGTTTAAACAATGTTAACTTAAATTCTACTATAAGATAAATTTAGAGAATAAGAATACTAAGCTGTATGCGATAAGTACAACAGCCTTACAAATTAGGATAATGGTAAAGTTGTATCAAAGTGCCGAACATCGTAATGCAGTTATTAAGAAACAGGGGTGGCGCCAGGCCCCTCATTGGGTTTAGCTGCGCCCCATG